CTTTTTTGCTGGGCGACCTGACACACTTGATGGCGTGCCAGGCACGGTCACAGTAGGTGTGTGTGTTTGGTGTATTAAGTGGTGCTTTATCAAATTAGTTTGGAACCCAGCTGATGAGTAATAAAGGTACAGTGGAGCCCCCACTGACTCCCAGACATCAATCCTCTGAGTGGGAGCCAAACGCAAGGCCTGGCACTGCCTGAGGCGTACAGAGCGCCTCTCCCCACTGATCAGCTTATGGACTCTCTTCAACCAAACTAATATTAACACTGGGCATGTGGAGGGCTTCAGCTGTCTTACTACTGTGAGGAATAACACTTAATGGACGCTGTAACAGGTAGGTCTTTTATTCAAACCGTTGCTGTGTTCTTTTGTTTTTCATCTTGTTTACCGCCTTTATCAGAGTCGATGGCCTGCCGCTGTACATTTTTCCAGACGTCGTCCTCTTAAAGCATCAGCTCTCAGGTGTCGAACAGACAGAAGACGAAAGGGGAGATGATAGTGAGATCAAACGGAGGACTGGAAGGACGGCGAGAACAGAGAAGGAGAGAGAGGGAACTACCGCCGCACGACTGTAATCTCGCTCAGCGTTGGGGTTTTACACAAATACAACAAAATGCAAAGCGCCAGAAGAAGGTGGAACGGAGGGGAGGGTGGGACATCAGAGGGCTTCAAGCCCGTCGAGGAGTTGTGTGTGTCAGTTCAGAGCAGCCGCTGGGACTAACAGTGGAGAACAGAAGGTAGCAGCAGGCGGATCACAGCCGATCAGGGGCCCTGAGAGAGATTCTGTCTCCTCCACCCCACAACTGAGCTCGAGTCGCTCTCCGCAGTCACATATTTATCCCGCACGACTTTACACAATACCCTCTCCAATATAATTACCACTGATTTCACAAGCTTTCAGGTGTTTTGCTTGATGCTACACTAAAGTCACTGAGATGTTTGAACCTTCAGGCCTTGTTTAATACCATAGAGGTAGACAGCTTTGCTGTGGCTAGAAATTTTTCTAGGACAAAATTTTAAAATGTGGCTCCAATCTTCCATCAGCACAATATGTAGCTTTCTTTTTTTTTTTTTACTCCAGAGTCCCCCTTTGTCCAAGACAATATTTGAAACCCTGTCTGAGCTGATATGCACCCCTAATACTTCTGGCATTTTTAAGTTACTTAAGTTACTTATCTTAAGACTTTTTGCGCCCTCCTAGAAGTTTTCTGAGGCACCCAGTAAAGCTATACCATATACTCAGTCTATACCATACACTCAATAAATAAATAACGTTTTTTTTTTGGTAATTTTGAGCTGTTTTGGAGATGCAAAAATTAATACATTTAAATAACTACATAAAATTATATTATTATATAGTTAAATAAATATACATACATTTAAATAATTAAAATATGAAGGCATTTATTTCATGTCAACCTTCAAACCTGAAAATGTCCTTCTCACGTAGTCAGTCACATGACAGTTTTCAACACTGTGGTGAGTTTGATGATCATATAGTTTGTGTAAGTTATAAATCATAATATTTATAACTGTATATAATATATAGAATATATAACTGTATATAATATATATATATATACAGTTGAGGTCAAAAGTTTACTTCCCCCTTGCAGAATCTGCAAAATGTTAATTATTTTACCAAAATAAGAGGCATCAAAATTCATGTTATTGTTTATTTAGTACTGACCTGAATAAGATATTTCACATAAAAGATGTTTACATATAGTCCACAAGAGAAAATTATAGTTGAATTTATAAAAATGACCCTGTTCTAAAGTTTACATACGCTTGATTCTGTGTTGTTACCTGAATGATCCACAGCTGTGGTTTTTTTGTTTAGTGATAGAAAAAAAAGTCCCTTGTTTGTCCTGAACAGTTAAACTGCCTGCTGTTCTTCAGAAAAACCATTCAGGTCCCACAAATTCTTTGGTTTTCCAGCATTTTTGTGTATTTGAACCCTTTCCAACAGTGACTGTATGATTTTGAGATCCATCTTTTCACACGGAGGACAACTGAGGGACTCATATGCAACTATTAAATGCATAATAGTTTCAATATGCATTAAATTTAGCTGATTTTGTCTTCTGGGAAACATGTAAGTATCTGAAGGGCAGTACTAAATTAAATATATGATATTTAGGCAAAATAAGAAAAATGTACACATCTTCATTCTGTTCAAAAGGTAATGCATTGTTTTTCCTTCTGGAGCATCAGTGAGCGAAGACTATATGTAAACATCTTTTATTTGAAGTATCTTATTCGGGTCAGTACTAAATAAACAACAACATGCATTTTGTATGATCCCTCTTATTTTGGTAAAATAATTAACATTTTGCAGATTCTGCAAGGCGTATGTAAACTTTTGACTTCAACTGTATATATAGAGAGATTGGACACTGGCTCCATATCCTTGGTGTAAAAAGGCACAATTTATCAAGGCCCAGGACAATGTTCTTGGTTGTCCAAGCTGATGACAATCCTACCAAAAAAGCATCTTCCTAGTGCTTAAAAAATGTCCGGAAATCAACAAGTGCAACCAGCAAAGCACAATATCACAATTCCATCTATATTCCAATTGTCAGAACTCTATGGCTGGAAAAATTGGCTCTGATGAGGGCGAGCGAGAGATCTGAAAGAGGCAGCTGTCGACGTGACGGATCTGATCGAGCTGAAACAAAGACAAACAAAGCTCTCTCTGCAATATGAGTTTAGTTAGCGAGAGAGTTAGAGAATGAGTTACGGCCGGCATGCTGCTGGGGAAGGTTGTATTTATGGGGGGATTGAGTAGGTTTAAATCCCTGCTAAGAAATAAAGTCATCCCTGTGCAGACTGGGGAAACATTTCACTCAGCCTAAAAGGTAGTTAAAAAAACACACACAAGACCTTTTTTTTTTCCCCCAAAGCAAAAGTTTTGCCCATGTGCTGAGATGGAGGGATGGAAGAATATCACACTGGAGGGAGCATGAATACATCTGGCTGAATGTTGCTGAATATTCCCAAGAGACAGAGGTATAAATTGATTTTAAAAAGCTGATTCCTTTAATATTACATGCTGTTTCAGAGGGAATTGCATTGGAATATCTGCATGAAGGTACACTTAAAGACTTGTACCATGTCAAGCCTTGAAAAATAACCAAGAACTTCCAATTAAAGTCCTTATAAATTCAATAAAAATTCCATGTTATTCCTTTCCTCAGTGTGTGAAATGCGTTTCCTTCACAGCGTGCTCAAATACACCTCTCCTCTGGCTGAACGCCCGCACATCCCTCCCTGCCCAGTAATCACAATTATTACTTAAAAAGGCTCTATTTCTACATTAACTTAAAAGGCCTATATCTTTTTCTTCCCCTCTTAGTTGGTGCAACCTCACTTACTCTAAGTATCTCAATAAATCAGCAGTTACTGTTAACATGTACTCAACAATTCAGTCATCAATCTCCCCCAGCTCAGAGTGAAAACAGAGGGGAAATATCTGCTCAGTAAAATCTCCCGTGCCCGTGTTTATGCACGGAAACACACACACACACACACACACACAGATTCGCTATCGCACAAACAAACAAACCAATCCGCTGGGACATCGGAACCATTGCCAGATCACCACGGAAACGCAAGCCAAATTCAATTGTGACCTCACCTTTCACTGAGGGCTCAATTCCATCAGCAATAGAAACAAATCAACAAGAGGGTGGAAAAGAAACAAACTTCCTTCCTCTCTCTCTCTCTTTCTCGGCCTCACTTTTCAGGCCTGCACTAGGCCCGAAACAGCACATTGCATCCTTGGCAGCGCACTGAGCTCCATGCAAATGTGTGTTTAGATTTAAAGACACTGTATTTATTTAACAAAAAGGGGAAGATCTAATTGAACGCTGGAACAGAGCGCATCTTCCAAACAGCAGCCCTGTGGAAAACCCTCCAGTTGACAGAACAGCTGTATCTAAACAAGCGCGTGAGAGCACGCTCGATACCGGCTGTCACTCGCTTAGCTGGGCAAATAATACCACTTGTTAACTCAAAAGTAACTCAAAAGTAGTGTAATGCATTACAATTCAGAGACAGTAATATTGTAATGTAACTAATTACTTTCAAAAGACAGTAACTAGTAATATATAATGTATTACATTTTGGAAGTAACTTGCCCAACACTGCTTAAGAATAATAAATTATTCTATTTTAAGAACTTAGAGAGATATTTCACACCTGTGGAGTGTACGTGTGAAGTCTAAAAGCTGTTGTTACTATTATAAATAATCTAATATTTTATTTTATAAATAGAACTGTATAATTTTGAAGGATTCAATTCAGCATAAGTTAATTAATAAATTACAATTCAATTCATGTAAAAAAATGTTTTGTGAAACTTGGAAAAGTACAGGAAAAAGCATAAATATTCTTTTTAATTTTCCGTAAAATGTTAATAATCAAAGCAAGCAGTTAAAAAAAATACAAAAATGCTTTGTGAAGTTCTAAAATCTAAAACAAAAAACTACAGATTTTTATTTTTTATTTTTTTTAATTCTACATAAAATGTAAATCAGTTAATCAATTAAGAAATATATGCTTTTGTAAAGTTCTAAAAGCTGGAAAACCACAAAACAAATTGCATAATTATAGTTTTTAATAAAATCTAAATAAATTAATTAATAAATTTAATAATTATTTTTGATTTAAATTGTTTAATTGTAAGCAAACAATTAAAAAAAAATTTAATAATTCAATAAATTGTTTTAGTTTTAGTGAAACTAAATAAGCACACACAATGTCACTTGTACACCTAAAAATAAAAATCACTCCTCAACTTCATATTTCCATTCAGTCATCACATTATAGTGAGGTATTACTTTACCAAAACACACAGTGAAAGTAATGAGTGCCTTTGTCATTCTACACCCTCACGCCCACCCCATTCACAGCGTGCTCAAGCCACCAGCATCTCTCACTCTCTCTCTGTGTGTGTGTGTGTATGTGTGTGTGGCGCCTGGCGCAGGTCTTACCTGGCAGGAGACAGCCCTCCTCTCTCTGTCTCACCTCTCCCTGCTGCTTTGGAGGAATTCTCTCCACAAAGCAAGGCATTTTTCTCTTCTCTCCCTGTGCGCCTTTACGGCTGGGCTGCACTCGCCCTCTCTCACTCTACCCTTCTCCTCTCACTCTCTCTCTCCCTCTCTCTCTCGCTCTCTCTCGCAGCACAGATGTCAGGGCTGCGCGTGTTTACCCACTTTACCAGTAGGGGTCCTTCAACACCCTCTGCTCCCCACAGCCACTGTGGAAAAACAGGCCCAGGAGAGTGAGATGGCAAGAAAGAAAGATAGAGAGCGAGAGAAAAAGGGCCACTTAAGCCGATCTCCCACGGTACGAGGCTGAGCGAGACGGAGCGGAGAAAGTTAGATTGGTCAGTCACTGAAAGTCAGAGTGAGCTCAGGCCGTTAAAGTGAGACCCGTATAGAGAGAGAGAGAGAGAGAGAGAGCGATAGAGTGAGTGCCTGCAGCTGACAGTAATAATGTGCCACATACTCCCCTCAAGTCCACTGAAACTGGATACCACACTCGTATCTTTAAAGCGGAATTCGTTCACTTTTTTAACTGAATCAAAATTTTACTTTTTGAGACTACAACCCAGCCTGATTAGCTCAACCAATGGCATGAGTTTGGGGCGGGGCTATCTGTTCAACTAACCCAATAGCAGTCTAGGGGAAAGGAAACCAGTTGGAAACAATCATTATTTTTGCAATTCTTTGCAATTTTATTGCAATTTAATTTTTTGCGACACTAATAGATATAAAATAATAAATATATATTTATATGTATATGTATATTTCTTTTCAAATCTAAAAATAAAAATATAAAAAGAAAGGCAACAGAAAGGGGGAAACCATTTTTTTTTCTGAGTAATTGACACAAGCCTGCCAGATTTGACGGCTTTGAGCTATTCTTCAGCGAGGAATTTCAAGTTTTGCTCCTACTTGTGGGGCACTTTTCACATTGCAGTATTAATGCTGGGGCTGTTGCCCGCCCGGACCCTCTGTCATGTCTAATGACAGCCCTCTTTCTCTCACTGAGACGAGTCACTCAGACAGAAGAATTTGAGACTAAGCCTCAAATTAATATCATGGGCCGGACAGCCTCAAACTGCACATTATGGTAAGTGGAAGGTTTCAAGGGTGAGCTAAAAAACAATCATTCTTTAAATACGAGGTGTGTCGACGGAACAGGGAAATAATGTGGAATGAGAGCAGGGACTTGCTACTGGACTCAAATGGGAGGATGAGCCATGTCTGTGTGTGTGTGTGTGTGTGTGTGTGTGCGCTAGGGATACTCGTACCCTCCTCCATACAAACGAGAGGTGCCATGTGTTTCCTCTCAATTCATTCATGCAAAGATTGATTGATCAACACAGAAGCATTGACCTGCTGAATATGGAAACTTGTCCAGTGTTGTTAAAGTTGACACGAAATCAGAATTGACCATATTTGCTTTCGCATATTCCTTTGCATGTCATTATTTTAAAACAAGTGTCTTTGTAGTCTTTAATCACTTCCTATGAAATTACTTTCCTTTTCCACTGACATTACTTATAGGCTGCACATGCAAGCTACTAGAATAGTATAATGCTAACCAATAGTCAAATGACTATGATGCTTAGACAATGTTTCACAATGTATTGAATAATGCTCCAGTTTTACATCAAACTATGCTTCTCTATAACAGGATATAAAAGTCCCAATTTAGCTTAATTTGCTTACAGCTGTGAGCAGAATAAAAAATGCTCATGTAGCCGGACACGTTATCCTGGACCAACTGCTAATAGTGTTAGCAAGAAAGCAAATTGACAGTGTTTGAGCGAAATTAAACAAACAGTGAAATAAATACTTCAAAACAAAACACTGACTGAGACAGGTTTAACAAGTTTCTGCCACTTTTTTCCCTGCAGAGCTATCATGATATGTTTTGGTTTGCAGCCTAATTAAAAAATGATGACAGAAAATGATAACTTAAAATGTATGTTACAAAACAGATAGTTCTGGCTGGATGAGCCACGTTCGAAGTCACTGTCAAATGACAACAAGCATGTAGTTGTGAAATTTATGAATGAAAAAAGACATGAATGATTTTAGCATGCTGTGTAAGAAGGTTTGAGGCAATCTTGTGGTATAATTACTGTAACGCACAGCCTCTCGAGGCCCATAGCTTTATTTCCAAAAGCAAAGTGGTGTAAGTATCTTCTATTTCATACAAAAGCAAGTTATTTAGTCGACGACCTCAGATCACGGCACTTGCTCTCTCCGACAGTGTCTGTTTTTCTTGTCTTTTTCTTTTTAACAGGCACTTCTGCTGTCATTGCGCTGGGACGTACGTGTTCCCTCTAAATGGCTTTTCTGACAACTGATCTGTAAATACAGCCAGATCTGCAAGTCTCTCCTTCTCTCTCTTTTTAGCATCAGCAACCCCGACCCTATAGCAACACACACACACACACACACACACTGCCCTCATCGCAGCCCCACGGCACGTCCCCCCGCCCTCTCTCTGACAGCCCCCTGCCCTCCTCCCCATCTCCATTCCCTCAGCCACTATAAAAACACAAATATCCCATAACTCAGCTTGCCCTGCCACACTGCCTCCATCTTGCCCTGTACCAGGGGGCCC